TCAGTTTTCACTGAGTTTGTTGTTGGGTTACAAGCAAATTCGTTCCCAAGATACAACAGAGCCTTGGGCGAGAATCTGCAACCAGCAAAGTTGAAGAGTCTCCGAAGAAGCCTTCTGTGAGATTGTAGCATACTGGACTGAGAGAGAGAGAGAAAGTGAATTTCGAAATTGTTGTGTGTGATATGTCTGATTCATGCCCTTTAAATAGTTTTTGAAGAGTTATGAAGAAAAGATAGGTGCTGGTTCAGAAAAGGCTCWTTGAATAGTCAAAATTGCAAACATTGTGACTGTTTAAAAGATAGTTAATAGTTAATGACTGTTAACATTGAATTGTGCCTCTTGATCACACTCGATCGAATCGTGACCGATGTGACCAACGGTCAGCATCGCACCAAAACCAAAGCCGCCATTCGCGTGCCACGCAAAGTGCGAGCAAAGTGCGACTCTAAAGCGCCATGCACATGCGTGCGCGTGCATCACACGGTATCAAGTCCCCATACTCTCCTCTTCTATTTCTAACAAGTGTATATCAGCTCTTATTAAAAACCCAAAACAAAACATGTAAATATCCAATGTGGGACAAGTTCAAAACTGGTTTTAGTAAGAGAAAAGTTATTTTCTAAAATAAGTGTACAGGTGCAATTTCTCATATAATTGACCAATCAAACCCATTGGATTTTTAAAATCCAACAATAACTATGCTTTCATTTGAATTTATTGTTTTGTTGGGTAATCAATAGGTTCAGTTGTGTTATAACCATTTGCTAGTTCAATTTCGTCTTAGACTCTATTGGCTTTTCGGGAAGTTATTTATTCGTGTAAATACATTTTACCCAAGTTCTTTTATATCTCAAGTAAATAAAACAATGATCGTTTTATCCATAAAAAGCAAYTATTAAAAGGGTCAACTTTATCCCATTCATGGTTCAAAGTATCGATACGCCTTTGCGTATCGTCAGAGGCATATCGGTTCTTAGATACACACAGAATTAGCTTTCTTTTAGTTTTTTTTTTTTAATTTTGGTTTTTTGGGAGTTAAAAAAGGGAATTAAAAAAGGCATATCGTCAGAGGCATATCGGAACATAATTGAAGACTTATCTAATTCACTTATCTAGGAAACAGAATGCACTTATCTAGGAACAGAATTGAAGACTTATCTARYGCACTTATCTAGGAAACAGAATGCACTTATCTAGGAACAGAATTGAAGACTTATCTATTCTAACAGAATTAAAACTGAATGGCTAAGGCTTATCCACAACTAAGAGCTAACATGACCAGGTCTTCTGCTGCTATCCACTTTGACTAGGTCTTCGGCTGCTGTGCACCTAGTGCATGCATGCACATGCACGTATCACAGTAATTGCATAGGAAGAGATACATGAGAGCCCACACTTTAATTGAATAGAGTAATAGCTTTGCAAACATGCACCCTATGTGGCGCTTCTTTTGTAAGCAGTCCTTGGAGTACAGAAGCGACATTAGTGGGAGTTTGCTATTATGAATGGATTTTTTCTATGAAGAAAAAAACTGCATNAGCTCACACAACAAAACATGATCAACAACAGGAAGCTTCTTGCCATGGCAAGAAAGTGGCAGAAGTTGGCAGCCATCGGCAGGAGAAGAATCTCATCACCAAGAAGTAAATTGCAGAGGGATGTGGATGAGTGCAGCGCAATGGTGACTGTTAAAGATCACTTCGTTGTGTACACGGCTGATCAGAAACGTTTTGTTATTCCATTGACGTATCTCAACAATCCCATCTTCATAGAGTTACTCAGAATGTCTGAAGAAGTGTTTGGACTACCGAGTGATGGGCTGTACTGCTGAAATTAAGTGATGAATCAAACATCCTCCACAGGGTCATCCAAAAGTGACTGAAGAACCGTGTATCACGATCTGAAGTGATGGTCTTGGGTACCCCATGTAAGCGGACAACCTCCCTGAAAAATAACATGGCTGTTGCGGATGCATCTGCTGTTTTCTTGCATAGGAGGAAGTGAGCAATTTTTGAGAATCTATCAACCTCCACGAAGACGGAGTCCATGTTCCTCTGGGTCTTTGGCAAGCCTAGCACAAAATCCATGGACAAGTCTTCCCATATAGTAGTAGGAACAGGTAGGGGCATGTAGAGACCTGTGTTCTAGGTTTGTCCCTTAGCTGTCTGACAAACATAGCACCTGCTTACGATGGTAGACATGTCCCTTCTTAATTTCGGCCAGTAATATCGCCCCTTAAC